ACTGTATAACATGTCATAATCCGCTAAAGAATGCGATCGATATATTCGCTATTCTACCTTTCAAATGCCTAAATACCAACCGACACCGAATTGCTGCCATCGCATCGTGTATCCGCTGAACAGACCATTACGTTCACAACATGCAGCAATAACACCTTTCTATTGACTCATAGAGTTAAAACTCTTACGAGAGCCTCCACTTCTTTCAAGGGAACGATGACCATGGCAACTGATTGCTAGGTAGTAAGAATCACTGGCAAATCTTTGCGCATAAGTCACTAGAGCGGAAGTGAAATGTTGACCTGTGCTTATCGATATCCCCCTTAATAATTCCTAGAAAACACATGCCATCGATTCTTCTGAACTGCTGTGCAAAGGTTTGGCAAGGATTTAAGAAGGTGCCAGAGTACTCAATCAAAAGTTGAAGTTAGATCTTTATTCCTGTAATCAATCTGTAAATATTTTCATAACTTCTCAATAGTTGCTCGCCGCTTATTCAATGATTGCATCTATCTTTCGCGGTATTTCAAAAGTCTGTTATTTTGGTTTCGTCACTAGCCACTTCAGCAGTAGATAGTAAAACGCCAGTAATGTCATTCTTATCTGATATACTGATTGGTAATCATCGTACTATGCCCTTGTAGAACACAACAACGTGACTATCACACAGCAGAGTACCGTTATCAACGCTTCTAAAGGTCTTCGTCTCAGAGACGGCGACTCGAACGCGGGAAAAACTCACGCGCAAATTATCTACGCACTTTTTCTACAATCACTTTAGCCAAATTCCGCTTTATCGTCGCCCTATTGGAACTTCGCAGTCGTCAAATCCAGACGTTGTCAAAATGGTAGAGTTCGAAAAGAGGTGGAGTACATATCAGCTATTTCTGGCAGGACTGATGGTCACCACGGGCACGTTGAATACGCTGTCTGCAAAGTGAGTTCACTCAACCTCTGTGTTTTCTTTCGTACGTGCTCACTACAGCATTCTTAGGTGGGCCGACATGATGGAAGCTAATCATGCTGAATTCCGCCATCCGTTTTTACAGGTACGTCAAGAGTTCAAGACGGCGCTCGATTCTCAAACCTCACTCCCGTCAACTTTGAACCTAATTTTATATTGAACCGTTTGGGCCGTTTGCGGGTGTATCGACATTTTCGCTGCCGCCCTTGAGAACAGTCTTAGTGCAGTGTTTCCGGTGATTCATTATCCTTAATATGGCCAGCAAATCCTTAGATATCTCATTGCTTTGGGATCATTTCAGTGGTTTTTTAAATCACGATTTTCAATTCTAGGCACTCTGCATGTTCATTGGAGAATTTCTATGTCTACCCGTGTTTTTTATATCTCGATTTTTCGAGAACAGGCGTTCCGTTCTCGTAGGCAAGGAATCTCCTCCGGATGAAAAGTCACAAACGCCGCTCGAATCTGAGCACAAGCCCTTTAATCCATTGATCTTCCTACCTGCTACCATATGCGACATGGTGGCAACCTCAGTCATGTTCATCGGCTTGACTCTAACCAATGCGTCCAGCTACCAGATGCTCAGAGGCATGTTTATGTTTTTTTTGTTTAGCTTCTGGCAGACGACAACCGTCTCTTTTAGGAGCCACCATTATCTTCACCGGGCTTCTTTCGGTCGCATTTCTAGGTAGTGTCTTACGCTGGTTCAAATGGACCGGCATGTTTTTCGTGCTATGCGGATTGATCTTGGTGGGTCTGGCAGACTTGATCAATGACACCCCCAAAGATCCGAACGGCATGCTATCGGGTAAGCGTTTATGATACAATGATGCCAGGTAATTAATACGCAGCTGCATATTGCTCAACAACAATTAATATATCTAACTTCTGAGCATCAGCATAAACTTTTGTGAAGCCACTTGAGATTGTATTATATGGTACTGTGGTTGTGCACGAAACTTATGTTTAATTAGCCAGTTTCAATGACCACTTAATTTCCAGTGGCGCGAGCAACAGCGTCGGTCAGCAGAATTTGGAGAGGTGTCTATCGAAGCACTTGCACCGTGACATTCTTGGCTTTCCCGATGTTTCTTGCTGTTTTGTCCAGCCATCAGTTGCTGTTGTTATGCGCGGGTGAAGGAGCCATGATGCTAAGGGCGGCACAAATGGGCCCATGTCCAAACGGCCGCGCCCAATCATCGTAGACCGTGAAAATGGCGCTTCCGCCTCCATATAAATAACTTATCCGTAGTTAGATTCAATATTCCATTTGACATAACGATCGTAATTTCCAACAAGAAGGCACAGAACTAGACTAGAGCGTCATTTTCATGGTTTCTCGTGACCGTTGGAACATATTGAAATTCGCAAAAACGTAAGTTGTCAAATTCTTCTCATATCGTAAAATCTATGGGAAAATAATTTTACTCTCTCCTGGCAGGACATGGCAGATGGCTAAACAGAGGAGATAGGTACTTTTACTTGTACTCCGTTTGAGTACTGCCTCTATGATTGCATATGTTCCCGCTGAAAGCGCCGGTGGACGATTCATCAGCGCATCTTTATCTCATAAAAACGAGGGTAACGAGCAGACTGCTCGCTGAATAATGACAACAACCAAGAAATGAGCTTAATAATTCTTGAACAATCCGTCAAACAAGAAACTATTCATTTAGTGATCAGCTCGAAGAACCTCTCGTTGGCCAGACATGTCTTGAAGACTAACATAATACCTAGAAAATAATGCATGAAGCCACTGTTCTGGGCACTCATCGAGATCAAAATCAAGCCTCAAACAACAGCTTGGGAATGCCATATGCAAATACCCCCAAATGAACACCCTCATGTAAATTTGCAGTTCACGTTCTGTTTAACATTTTATTGTCGTGCCGTCAACGCATTTCTGCTATATGCATTTAATAGGTTAATACATAACCATCCATAGGCGGGAGCTGTGATGATATCTTTCAGCGGGACAATTCCCTGCTCAAGACCAGCCTTAAGCTATAACATTTACAACAGAGCAGTCAAAAAATTTCGCAACGGTTGGTAAATATGAAGAAGTAGCTTCTGAGATATGAATCAAGCACATAAAGTAGGATATTAGGTTTGCATGGTTATGATGAAAATTATTCAGGCTGTGTTATTAAGAGTTTGCGTCCATAATGTTTATGTAAATTGGTCATGAATAACTGAACTACTTTGTTTAACTGTTAAACATTATTTAAATTGTGTTTCAGGTTTATCACACATTTTTGGAATTATGCGCAGAATGCACAATGACGGTTTTCAGTAAACCGCTAATAAACAGATGATAGTAGTCAATCTTAGATTTGACTATTTTGAAAATAACCTGGCTGAATCATATAGGAATTGTTTCTCCTCTCTAGAGAAACCACTTTTTCGAAATATGTGCAGAAATCACATAAAAGCGTTTCTGCTTAATAACTTGCGACATAGACATTAGTTTTCATATAGCAAAATTTTACAATGACAACATACACTCCAAAAATTGTGTAAAACAGCTATTTTAATATGGATAAATGTGTTCGATACAAATGTGCTGTCTTTTCAATCCTGGTACAGTGAAGCGACGCCCACTCCCTGCGGTAAATTGCCCACAATAGGAGTGATATGCAGAAGGAATCATTTGTCACCACGTCATGGCATCTGACGTATGTGGTGCATGCCCATTAAACCTTTTGCTGGGGCATCTACTGATATTTTATGCAATTAAATTGGATCACCGATGCTAGTCTTAATCCCACACTCGTCTACTTCTTACAGATAATCGCCAAAAGCTTCTATGCTTCTCTTTCAGCTCATAGTCACATCTTAATCGAGGTCTTCAGATCTGCAATTTGCAACCCTTTAGTACCAATCCGTTACCGTTGAAGTCAATCGGTCATCTTTTAATCGTACTGCCAGGGGGATCTGGGCCCATTTCCATTAGGGCTTTCCATTTAGTTCGAACCTGGATTAGTCAAGAAATCTCCTTGAACGCAATGCTGGTAGTGGGAAATCTCTTCTCATTAATATAGCAGAAAGAAGAGATCCCAAATGGCTGAACGAAAGATACCAATATTCAAGAAAGGTTGTTGCTCGGATACAAATGACTGCCGTGGAATCGGCCTACTGTCCATTCTCGCTACTGTGTTCATGCGTAATTTTATGAACAGAAACCTCGTCAGAAAATCTTGAGTGCAAGGCAGTCTGGATTCAGGACTGGCAAAGGATGCTTTAAACAGACATTCAGAATGAGACAGCTAATGAAACAAGAGAAAACGGTGATCCAAATTCTCTGCAATATTCATCGATTTCACTTAATGGCCTAATCCGGAGAGATACACTGTAGGATATTGGAGAATGCCCATGAGAGACTATTCACATAATTCAAAATATGTATAATTTTTCTTCAAGAACAGTGAAATTTGATGGCAAGTTTTGAGAATGTTTTCGTACGGAGTTTGGAGTAAGGCAAGAAGGAGTAAAATCATCTCTGCTGCTCTTTGCGATAGTGCTTAACGGGGAGCACCAGCCAATACGAAGGAGTGAAGCTAAAGCATAAAAAGTGTTCATCTCCGTAAACTCCCTTGCATTTCTGGATGATGTAGCCTTGCTTGCTGACAACTTCGAAGCTGCGACATCACTGTTCCTCACTCTGGAATATGGATGTCCAAATATGGTTCCCTCGATTAACTTAAGAAAGACGAAGTGAATGGAAATTGGTAGAACACTGGCTAAATTCTCTCTGACACGTGATACTCAATTTATGGAAAACATACTATAGCATCTATATCATGGGGATACACTAGCTGTAGACGGACGAATGACAAATGAAATTGAGCGTCCTAACATAACACTAGCAACGAACAGAACTTTATTAAAGCTCTGGGCGGCCAAGATGTTGGAAAAGACACCAAGCTGCGGAAAGTGAGATTTGATCCTGAGTATCCTTTTATATGGGTTGAAGACGATGGCAAGTAACAGAGCTGAAAATAGAAACTGGAAGCAAAGAAAATGCAGCTCTTCAGTCTAATACTTGGGGTGAAGTGTTACAACCTGGTGCCAAATGTAGTTGTAGGAGAGATTAAAATATTTTTCTTAAATGAGCGACTGGGTGTAAAAAGATAGTTTAAAATAATGGGTTCATTTCCAGCGAGTGGACAATAGCCACCTTCAGAAACAGATACTGAGCACAAAACTTGATGGAGGCGGTCGCCAGGAAGACCTCCAACAAAATAGGATATAAAACGACATGAAATCGAAAGTATTGAACGGAACGGTCAGCACGTGCTTATTCGATGCAGATGAAATCCTTGCACCGTGCCTGGCTTCTCTTCGATGTAATGGGATAAGAAAAAGAAGAAACTTCATTTGATTTCGGTAAATGGTTTTGGATACTGTACACATTTGCAAGGTGTCTCAGATAGAATGTCCCTCCCCTCGGCTAAACAGTATACAATGCGAAAGTTTTATAACGCTTGTTCGCTATGAGGCTGACTTTGTTTTAAAATAAAATCTCCTTTTGCAAACGAGAATATCGTGTCTACAAAAGAGCCGTATCACATGCACAAAGGCATTTTTGAGGCAAGTTTCAGGAACTTAGGAAGTTAGAGTCTCTGTGTAAACAGGGAAGAATTCCGCTCTTTGCTGTCATCAAATTCTCAGCATATTCAGATAATGAGGGAGTGTTAGGAAGGCTTTGAAAAGGGAAAATTCAACATTTACACACTTTAGCTCAAACGTGTATGATTAAAAGCATTATGAGAAAATGCGTCCTAATATCTTATAATATTCAAGACCAGATATTGGAAGATAAGTAATGAAAATTTATGGCAAATGTAATTTCTTGATTGACACTGTTTCAGATTCCTTTATATTTTGTTAAATTCGAGTTTTTTTAATGTTTGGTTAAATATGTGGAGAAAATTCGTGAACGCGAACTTTGCCGAGTTACTACTTTGGTCAATGAAGCCTGTCTGAATTTAAAACCGCAGTTGCATATCACTTTCTCGCCTAAGACCGGTTTCTTTCGCGCCTATAGTTGGAAATAAACGGTTTTTCTGATCACCATTCGACCGACAAGATTTTACCAGTTCAAAACAAACATGTCTGTGTGAAGTAGATTTCTAGTTCTGACGATGATTAACGACACTGTCTGAGTGAAAACTAATATAATTCATTTGATTTTCTAATTTTTACAGTTTAAAAGTATCTGAAAGATTCGGCCATCATTTAGGCCATCTTATGAGCTCAATTTTGTCTGCAATTAAGGTTTTGTAAAAGTTGTGTGAAGCGTTTACAGACAAACAGGTGTTTCCGTGATGAAGATGTAATTGTTTAACTATTCAGACAAATGAGTTAGTTTAATAATCAAAATCTGTACATACAGTTAGACCAATGAAATTACCATTGACTGGTAGTTTCCTTTAAACAAATACCGAGTAAACAGGAGTCAGGCTCCATGCCTACTTATTGCAAGTTGAGTTCACATTACTGTGACGTTACATGATGCTTACAACCAGAAAATTGGCAATCGAGTTATGTTTGTTTGCTTGATTTGAGTTCTAGAAATCAAGTAGACGCCGTAGGTCATCTACGACATTACATTAATCTGGAAAATTTCTCCTGTATTAAATTCGAGAGATATAAAATTTCGTTCATATTTCAAGTCAAGACGTTTGCTGCTCCTTCAAAGGTATATCAGTACGATAAATCTTTAGTGTTTTTATGCCTATCTTCTACGAAGAAGAACTAAAATTCAAATGCTCGTCACCTTTCATTCTTCCGAGGCAGTTAAATGTTGCATGTTATATGCCACTGGAGTAAATAATCTCTCATATGTACGTAGCCTAGAACCGCAAACATCACTTCCAGCATATAGTATTCCAACGTAAGCCGTCAGCACTATTACCGTTATCCGATTTGTCCTCGCTATGGGTGCGCTAGGAGTGCAAGTCAACCCTCCTCAAACATATTCTATTTTTAGATATCTGCCTCCACCACTGACCACGTAATTTGACGATCAGGGCATTCATGTGTGTGTGTGTTTTCACAACCGTATCTGTATGCGGTTAGCTCAGCGGAACCCAGGATGCAATTCTTTACATCCAGCACTTGTTTATCAGGCGAGCTGCATCATTGGATCACCGTCTCTTGGTGTCAAAGAAGGCAGATATCAAGTGTGCCTGTTC